CATAGGTATTACACGTATTACTCGACATCGCGAGTCTGTAAAATATGTAATAATTATTGCGCTTTTTTTTTTTTTTTTTCACTGAAATTCTCGCGTACTCGTAATAACAACCGCGCGGTTTTCCATCGTTGATCGACGCGCTACTTGGAAAATCAACCAAAGTATAATACGCGTATACACTACTATATCGTATTCTATAACACTTATCGTTTTCGAAATTGTTACTGGTAAGCCACTGATGTAGCACGTAGGTGGCTAGGTTGGATATACAGAGTAATTTAGTATATATATATATTGTGTACTACACACAGCGATTGTAAGTAAAATTGAAAAAAGATTTTGAATACAAGAATAATACTCGCGTTTTTAGATTCTGAATGGAGCGAAGAAGCTTATGGTTCACGAAGATGTTTATTTATTTTCTTTAAACAATTTTTCTACCAGAAGACTTGCTCGGATTTCTAACTGCTAGCACCTTTTCTGAATGTAAATCGGTGTGGAGAGGTATCTTAGGGAGGACATTTTTCGATTTTTTCGGGAGTTTACCCCGGCAAATGTGAAAAACCAGGATAAAACACGGGAAAACCGGGAAAAATGTAGGAAAACTGGGATAATCAGTACAACATTAAACACATATTATTAAAAAAAATATATAGAGCCTATTTATTAGCGTATATATTGTTGATAAAGCACCATTACCAATTGAACTCCGTTCAGAATCGTTTTTTCGTAAGCAATGGTTTATCGTTGCTTACAGATATACATTAAATCTGTATCCTACCTTCCCAACTTCCTACCTACAACAGTCTCTGCACTCGTTCTCATTATCTTACCTTTCTTTTTGTTTTTCTTTTTAACATGTTAAAATTGTGTAGAAAAACTGTTGGAAATTTAGACGGTTTTTCCAAAACAATGTGCTAAAGACTAATCAAATCGTCCAAGGTACGGTGCGAATAATTTAAAGCCTTCTTACTAATTTTGAACCAATAATTTATTTTCACAATGTAACTGTTGTCGCGGTGTAATCCGCTGAGCTGCGTTTATGACGGAATCGAACGGGGTTGTACAAATGGTTTTATAATCTTCACGGTTCGTAAGACACCACAGTGTGACCAAGGGTCTGACAAAAAGAAAACAACAATAAAAAAAAAAAAAATCTTTTATAACGAAACGTTTCGGGAAAGCGCTCGAATTTCATCGAATCACGAGTTACGCGACATCGCGGTTCGGGCGGCGGGTAAGCATGGCGGACGGCGAAATTTAACGGCGCGCGGTACGCAGGCCGAACGGCGGAAGAAGGGGAACACGCTTTCGTGCGACATCTATCGGCGCGTTTATCGTCGGTAAACGCGCATGATGTACGTTGCCGCAAAACAAGGACCCGGCCGACGCCGTCGGGTCGCCCGCGCCGCCGAAGATCGGTTCGGGTTTCCCGGCGTCGCCGCGCGCGTGCGGCTCCCTCCGCCCGCCCCGGTCCGCGCCGCCGGACCTAATGAGACTTTGCGCGACGCATGCGATATATTCGTGTTTTAATATTTATCGGCGTCGCGGTCGTTTGTACGCGGCGCACACGAGTACTCCGGTGCGTTTACGCGTGCAATACGTGCGCACGGGTTAGAAGCCGTGCCGACGACCGTGCGGTCCGCATAACTCTTCTCGCTCGCCGTGTGCGTCCGCGTCCGTCCTGTCTCGAGATTAGTTGGCACGCGGGCGGAAATCTCGCGATATGTTTCCGCGCGAACGTGTGCGTGTGCGTGTGTGTGCGTGCGTGTGTGTGAGCGCGCGCGCGCGCGCGTGTGATTGACCGATCGATTATTCCCGCGTGTCTCCGCCCTCGCGCCCGCCGCGGAATTTTCGCCGGTAAAAACGCGGTCGTACAAACGGGTAATAGGCGTTGTTATTCCACGGGAAAACGTCGTTTCTCCCCGATTGTTGAGAAACGCGAACCCGAAATACATTTGAAACATTCTAATTCGCCCGGAAATTCGCTGAGAGCAACCGGCGACCATTTCCCCCGAGAATCGGAACAGGTTGCGGAACGATGGAATTCGTTCGGTCGCGAAATTCTTTGTGACCATCGCGGACGGACGGTGACTTTTCGTCCAGAACTGTTATTTCTCCGCGTTAAACCGCCGGCGCGGTGTCTACGGGCGTCGTAAAATTACCGCGGCCGCGTGAGTCGTTGTCGCGCCGTCGTTGCGTTGCTTTTTCGATCGTACAAAACGAGTCTCTCCTCGGTATTTCCAATTATCATCCGGCGACAATTGGGGAGGGTGAGTCGTCCGAGTCGAACGGATCGGTACGGCGACCGACGTCAAACGAAAACCTCAGTTGGCCATCGAGTGTTCCGTGTCCGCGTGTGTATAACGCCGAATTGCGCCCCGTGTATTTGAAGACGGCGCGTATTAAACCGTCAAACGTGCGGTAAACGGCGTATCGAATACGGGATACTGTTTAATTTTTTTTTTTTTTTTATCATCCGGCGAAAAGTGACTAGCGATTATTACGTTTGTTACACCGCCCTCCCGCCGGTTATCGCGGTATACGTCGCCGTGCGCCGCCTTCAAACCCGGAATTCATCCGCAGTCCGTACCCGCGGTGTTATCGCGTAGTTACACCGTACGCGATACAGAATTAAGACGTACGCCCGTTGCGCGTTCTAATAATAATGCCCGCGCAAACTATATAATTAAAACTAACCGGTTAATTTCCGCGCTAAAATTACAATATGCTACCATTGAAATAATAGCCAATTATATACGTTAAATCTTGGGTTTTTGACCTCGTATAATGAGATTTGATTTTTAGTTAATTTCGTGAACATAGCAAATAGTTTAATTTTCGATTTTTTTTCTAACTATTACTGGGTTCGTTTACACGTTTAATTTCATTCTCCATTTCTGGCGGTCTTCAGCCGAGCCTCTTTAATCTAACGGAAGTGTCTACTGTTGCCCGCATTTTATTTTTCAGTCTTGTGTCCTTCAATGACACCTACTAGTATAGTGTAGTGCAATTCCGCATTTTGTCGTAAAACGTGTCCCATTATCACCCCACCGTCACCGCAATACGACATTGATTTAAGGTTCTTGTTTCTTCAATCCGATTCAGTACGTTCGTTTATTACATGCTCGTTCTGTGTTTCTAGTTTTTGCGCACGCCAAACAGAACAGTATAACAATAACTTCGTATCCGCACTTCAAACTCGGTGTTATAATGTCTCTTGCGTAGTAATATTAAATTAGATTAAGTTGGGCGAGGCGTGTATACAGATCGCAAGGACTGATTGTACCAATAACAGCGTGGACACCGAACACAAAGATACCCGGACAAAGATGGGCGGACGGAAAAAAAAAAAAAGGAAGATCTCAGGATATTGGGAGTGAGGAGCACGGAAGAAACCGCGAAAGACGGGGAAGAATGGAGGCAATGGTGTTGCGGCAATGGGCCCGAAAGGCCCATGAAAAGTCGGAGAAGAAGAATATTAAACAATTGGCGCGTCTGTGGTTTTCCCGATTTATAGTTTTCATCGGTCCCAACGGCTTTACCCGGTCGGATTGGCCGTACAGTCCTAAAACCCGGTCGAGTCAATAATAGTCACTGCCGAAGATAATCGCAACACTACCGGCCGTTATAATATCACGCTGTGAACCGGGCGATAGTAACTGCCGGAGTACCGCGAGAGACCGAACGAAACTGTCACACCAATACGCACATTGATGACGTTAACACTTATTGTTACTCGATTATATCCGACAGTTGCTACCGTTCCGATTCATTGTCGCGCGTCACACTTTCGCGTAAATGGGAATTTACACTGTGCTATTATATCGCGTCTTCGAATCGCCGTTTTACGCCGCGCTCGTTGCCGCCGTACCATCCGCGACAGTCGGACCGATGTCGCTGTTAACTGCGCTGGTTGCGGTTTCCGAGCGCCGATCGCCGGTAGACCGGGCTTTTGAATATTCGATAAAAAAAAAAAAAACGAACGATACGGGTACCCTCGCACAATATGTCAGTTAATCCCGCGAAACTCTCAACAAACGTATTATTCGCGATCGCGGCGTGTTTATTGTGCGCGGGACATACGTCTCCCTGTCGTCGACCGTCCTGCAGCTAGGTATCGGTCGTCGGATTGAACGTCTGCTCGGTAAACGCGCGGTTTATAACACGCACTCCGGCACGGACGTAATATTATTATTGTTATACAGTCGCGGAACAGAATTAATTTCTCTCTCTCTCTCTCTGTTTATCTGTACGGCTCAACGCGCGCGTTAAAAAACGGCACGCGGCGTGCGCGGCGCGTACCACGGCCGTTCGCAGACGGACGAATCGAATATTATAAAAACCGTAATAACAGTAACGATAGCGACAATACTATTTGGTCTACGACGGCCGTCGCGTATGTTACCGATGCGTATCGGCGGCGGACGGCGTCGTCGCGACCGACGTTCGTTCCGTAACTTCGCGCCAAATGTGGCGACAACACGCGTCGCGCGGCCCCGTTATTGTGTACCCGCGGCACGCTGCGCGACAACGCGCCGGCCCGCCGGTTCGCGAACGTCAAAAGGCGCGCGCGCGGTCCGGGCACGCTGGCCGGCCGGCCGTCCGCGCGCCGCCGCCGTGTTCCGCGTGAACCCGCGGCGCGAATCGTTTCGGAAAACTGCCCGCCCGAAACCACTGGCACGCGACACGAATTTCGAACGTCTCGGACGCAGTCCAGACGTTTTCGCGTGACGCGGTCGCCGTCCGACTGTCGGCCGTTACCCGGCGATTTCTCGAAAAAAGAAAAACCGTTGAATAGAACGCCAATCGTGTAACGATGTTACGGCTCCGACGCGCGCAACAAGGTACATGACCTGTATCGCAAGTCTACACAACACGCAGTTTCGTATTCCCCGGGCGTCGTTTTAGGCATTTAGACTATAGTCCGGCCAACCTGTTTTTTTTTTTTTTTTTTTGTTTTTTTCCAGCGCGTTTTTGGCTCGCGTAAAACGTTATAAAACCGCCAACGGTCGCCTCTACCGGTACGGTACGGCCGTTCGAGATGTCATAGTGAAACGTGGGCGATTATTATCACGGTTTATTGTTTCCGTGGCTTACGATTGCGGATATTACTATCGTGTGGTATAAATGTGATTATGATGTCAACAAATTGATACAATCGACATCAAAATTTATAATTTCTCGATTTTTTTTCAATTTTGCTCTATACTCTAATCTAATATTCGTATATTAAAATGTAAAGTGGGTGTTCGAGCGAGCCGAGCGATCGACTCTTTTGATCGTTTTTCGTTTAAAACAAACAAGATATGACGATAATTGGTCTAGTGGAAGAAAAAATTGCCCCTATTCAAACGTTTGCGTCCCTATTGAAAAACTTAAATGACGCCCCTGTTTATTTCTGAATCATATTATTATCGACGAGTTAAACACTACACGCGATAAAACCGATTCGGCACGTTCCCGCTGACATTATAATTTATGATATGAAAAAAAGTTCGGTTAAACACGATGTTATAAATACCGTAATTCTTACAAAAATTTGAACTTTAAACTGTTATAAAAAAAAAAAAAGCAAATACGTGACATTCGATTTTTTTTTTTTTAACATAAAGTACAACTTATGATGAACTTCGAGTTCGTGAATTTTTCGAGTATTTGTACTGAATCAAACATATTTTACTCGCATAAAAACATAAACAAATAAATATCTCAAAACCAACCAGAATGCTTTGAAAACTGCATAGTAATAAAGAACGTAAAATGTGTGCGCAGTCTCGTCTGCGAAAATTGCAAGTTTCCCCGTACCTGCATATTTCTGCAATAAGTACATAATTGCATACATCACTCGGAAACGGCGATAAATATACGTCGGAATTATTAAATGTGTACACTCTTAACGTGGATTTTTTTTTTTTTTTGTCGTCCTCGATTGTTATGTGCGAACCGCGCTCTTGAACAGCGTTAAATTTGTTTCTCGCGACTTTTAACCGAAATCGTTTTCGCTAATTTACCGCGACCCGGTCGAAGTCGATTATTTTCGTTGTCTTGTACGCCCCCGTCGGTGTACACGCTGCAGGAGGCGCTTTCGTTGCGCGCGCCAAAAGTAACATTACACTTGTACGCGTACATATAAAATATACGCACGCGCGCACGAGTATATTGCACATTACAATATATATTAGAGATAATGATATGCGCTTGTACGCGCGACGATGTTGTTCGAAAACTGGTCGTCGGCGTAACACACGGATATAATATCATGTGCGCACGCGTACACAACGGAACGGTTCGGTGTCGACGATATGCGCGCTCGCGCTCGGCCCGAGGACCTATGGCAATGCTATACCGAGCGATCGCGGGGTGAAACGGTATTCTATTAAATTTATTAGACTGGGCGGAACGGCGAGAAAAAAAAATCCGCGTCCGTACGGATCGATATCGCCTCCGCCGCGTATGCGAGAAAATCGAACAGGGCCACGCGAACGTTGTCTGTGCGCGACGGCGAAACGGCCGAAAGTTCGCGGGCGGCGACGCGGTGTCGGTTTCCGCGGTTTGCGCGCGCGAACTTTGCCGCCCCGTCCGCCTCCGCGTCGATATCAATATGTGGGTGGGGGGGGCGGGGCGGCACCTTAAACACGTGTACGTCGTGTTGCGTCCGCGGGGAAATTAAAACGGAGACGTCCGAGGACCGCGCTTATAAATACCTAACCTAACCGAACCCGCCCGGCGGCCAACCGCGATAAAGTTTACCGTTTTTTTTTTTTTTTTTTCCCCCGCGAAAAGCCGTCGCCGACGTGTGTTAACTGCCGCGGTAAAAAAAACAATAAGTGTCGTACACAAACGTGTATTTGTGTGTAATTCTTGGCCCGCCAAGAATTTACATTTTTTACGAGTGATGAGAATACTGTATTTTACTGTAGGCGTTAAGATCTTAATATAGGTACGGCGACATATTTAATTATTTATTTCGTATCGTTGTATTGAGATTAAATTCGATTGTTGCAATAGGTTAAATTGAACTAGATTGAACTGTATAAATGCTACATGATAAACCAATAAAAATTAAAATCATTCGTTTCCGAACGTTTTTTGAAGGAAACGGGAATCGCCCAATTTTTTATGGACATCACACTATATTATAGGGTTAGCTAAATTATTGTTTAACAGTGACGGGAATCTATTACGCACAACGGCCTATCTACACAGTATTATCTCTACTATCGTATAGTCCTGCAACAAGGCCAATAATCAAGACACGTGTGGTTTTATTTTTTTGCGTACACAACTTTTCCACCAGAAACCATTAAAGCGAAAAACTTTATTGGAATTTTCGTGTGAAATTTTTTTTAATAATTTAAAATAACTGTCGTTTTTTTACATGATTTTTGTTAGTTTCCGCGGGGTTGACCTGTTGACAACATGCGTAAATACAGGAATAAAATACGACCTGTCACTCGGAAATAAAATTATTCTAAATCCCCTCCTCCTAAATTTGTGCACACCCACAGCAACATCAGTACTGTTCATGTGTAATAAATTGTCACAGTTAGAACCGTGTACCTTATCGGTTGTATTACTGTCAGCATAGCTCGAAAAAAACTATTAGTAAAAGCTTAATTTTGTCGCGGTATACACTCATGACAAAAAAAAATCCTAACTGTGTGTCGGTTTTCCGCGGGTCTCGCGGAACCTGCAGTTTTACAATATCGTGTTATCTTATTATCTTCGTTTATTTTCCGGCATTCATTGTCAACCGTGGGCTATACGTTCTTTGTTTTATCATATTATTATAATTATTATAGCATTCCTCGCGAACGACATTGTCATTGCACACGAACGCGGCCCGATCGTTCGAGACTTGTCACACGACCGCGTCCGCTCAGTCCGTCGGGTCGTTTGAAATCGTGCGGGGATCGGACCAGCACACAGCGTTGAACCGATAGTGACGGACTCGCTCGAAATAATATATTAATAATAATATCTTGATAACGATAATGTTATACACCCGGACGGCCGGACCACCTACATAAGCTAATGAAGCTATTGGATCGACAGAGAATACGAAAATCCCGATGGGAAAGCGCCGATACTGATGACGGGTGTGCCACAGTGGTTGTAAGCGAGAAGTTGAGCAGGTATTTTACGATATGCACATATGTAAATAATATACAGTAATATAATTTATATCTATACTTCACGATTTAATCGTTGCTAACGGAAAACGATTCTGAGCGTGTTTTAAACGACTATACATTAAAACACAGCCATTACATTATACAATACGTTCAATTTGTTTTTGTTTTGCCACTAAGTAGCATTTATGATGAACCGTATGTTAAATTTTCAATTGGTAAAATAATCCGCAACAACCCTTTAATCAAAAAAATATATATAATATATTATGAAAACTCGCAAAATTTAAAAAGCTTTAAATAATTCAAAAACTGTTAGTATATTTTAAAAATTATACCACATCGTCTCGAAAGTGCTAAATTCAGTATTTGGTGAACATTTCCCCAATTATTAAAAAAAACACAGAGGGAATCAAAAAGCTACCCTCACAATGCATTGGCTACACAATAATCAACACCGGAGTTGATGATCGAAAGTTTCTAGTAAAAAAATCGTTTACAAACAGAAAAAAAAGCGCAGCATATATCGTAATAAAAATAATACATTCCTTTCTTCGCTCAGAATCTAAAAGAACAGAATATACTTCGCATCATGGAAGCCACTTTGAAAGGCGGAAAATTGAGAAGGAATGAGGCATTATGATATAGGGTTGTTCAGTTGAAATAATAAATGTAGCGTTAAACCATTGAAAACAAAAAACAATTGTGATGAGTGGAGCTCGTTTAACTGGTTTAAACTAATTAAAGTGGTTTTTCCCCGTATAACCAAGTCGTATCACAAATCAAAAAAAAAAAAAGGTTCAAAATTCAAGAGTGGAAATATCGAAATTGACATTTAAAAAAACCTGGCGTCGAAATGTTGTCCGCCCATGTCTGAAATGTCATATCTGCGCGTGCTATAGATTTTGTCTAAACCGGTGTAGGGGAACGTGGGTCAGAACGGGGTCATGAAACGAAACGGGGACATTTTAATATTAATGTATTATGCTGGTTACACTTATTTAAAAATTTAATGTGCATATAAGATCCTCGGTCTTGAGAAATCACACGATAAAAATGTCACGTTCGTATATTAGCTATCATATTAATAATAAATGAAAATCATCAACAACTTCTCTTATTATTTGTTTGATATAATAAACTGTTATTTTATCTTTAAATTTGCATGCTATTTGTTTATTGTAACGTCATTTTTTTTTTTTTTTTTTTGTTCATTTTATAGCAAATGTTCGTAACTTTAATTTACCAACATTAAGAATTTATCTCCAAAAGTATTTTTGGCGTTAATCAACAGAGGCTTTAGGGAAATGTACACGTTGAGGTATAATAAGGTAGACTCGGTCGGGACAAATTGGGGTATATTTTAATTATGTATTAGGCCTACGCATAAAATATCCACAAAAACAAGTAATCAATGTTTATACTTTGTACAATCACAATAGATATTTTAACCCGTGAAACATTTATTTTTCTTTTTTATTACACAATTATTAATTGAATTGCATGAAAGTTAAAAAGTATCTATTAGATACTATATTTATATGAATTGAATAGTATTTGTGAGACTTCCCCATTTTTCCGCAGATATGGGACAAAACGGGGAAAATGATACTTAAACATATTTTATCCCTTAACTTTATGGAACTGAAATGAATGTTTAACACATGTTGATATAATAAATATGAAGTTTATTTAAATAGAGCGCGTGGTTCAAATCGAAATCAGAATTTTTGAATGAAATTTACGTAGTTTCTTATACCTTACTTCCCCGTTCTGCGTTCACGCTTCCATACCATAACGGTCTGTGCTCTGGTTTTTATGATCTCTTCAAAAACTTTTAGGAATCTAGAAAAAAAAAATCATATTTACAAAGTAAGCATTACAAGTTTTGCAGGATTTTAGCCGGCCGATTAAAAAAACTCACACACCAAATGTATAACCGAATGTGTTTCTGAGTTTCCCGCTCCACTCTGAATCTTAAATTGAATTGTACAACTTATAGTTTAAATTACAAGCTGTATATTCTACTGCATATCCGCATATCCTATATATCCTGTATTGTATATGTAAGTAATGTGCAATACAAATTTAACTAGCAATGTTGAAATTGAATTATATTTGGTAACTGGCTGTCGAAAAAGTGCGACGGGATCGGGTGTGCGGGGAATTTGTCGGCAAAAGTCAAAATCCTACATCGGCCCGTGTGGTTAAAATATTTATTCGATCGGTACATTGAATTCGCTGCGATTACCTATATTATATACATTTAAAATCGCCGGGAGAAAATATTCGTTCTTCGAAACCTGTCGATCGGGCCCCGGCAATAGATTATCGACGCTAAAAACACATAAAGGTGTCTGCTGCGGTACACCGGCCGCAACGTAACACTGCAAAAAGCCGTTGCACTCGTCGAAAACCTGTTTTTTTTTTTTTTTTATCCACACACAATATCTTCATAGTTCGCTAAAATTCCACTCAAATCGATTTCGTTTATGTATACGCTCACGTATATTTTAGACGATCGCCCGCCATCCGGATCCGCGTCGCCATTTTCTAAAGGCGCTGTTGTAACGGTTTTGCGTATCGTACTTACTTAATAATGTTTGTGCAAACTTTGTTGGTACACTTTACGAGTTGGCATCGAAATCATTGTTATCCAGAATGCTGCAGTCGGCTAAACGTTGGATTTCGAACATTGACTGTATTGTATGGTATTATTATAATAACTGTATTACATATAAGCTTACGAATAAGCTGTGAATTTAATGGAAAATGTGCATTTTTTTTTAATTTTATTGTAAAACGAAGCTTTTTTTAACATAAAAATTTGATTCGTCTAACAAGACTACGGCGTATTCAATCGTGGGACTTTTATTTTGCATTCTGTACGCCTTTCTAGTTCATTTGACTATATTCTGATCCATTTCTACTGATTCATTTCTCATGAATTGCATATTGTTATTATTATTGGTTTTTAATTTGCACAATATGTGTACGAGTAAGCAGGTACAACGTTTGATTTGTCACGGTTCGCTAAAATAGGGCTAATCGCGGTTATTAATTTCGATATATCAATAATAAATTTCCAGAGTAAGGTTCCTTTGCATATTGTTTACTGCATTTTTTACGATACTAAATACATTTTTCGACGGTTCACAGCCCTTATTATTACAATATACCGAAATATTAGTTTATGTCATAAAGATCGCCGTGACCAAAAATATACGGTATTATTATTTTTTAGTATATTTTAATATAGTCATATAGAAATTAAAAAACACGTTTACTAACGATTTGTACCTATACAAGAGACATACTTGTTAAATTATGTTTTTGCCTTCAATACAAGTCAAATATTATTATTATTATTTTAAATTATAATTTTTTTATTCGTTTTTTTTTTTTTTATTATCCCTAACGGCAACGTGTAACCGTCCAAGTAGTTTATATATGTATGGCGTATAAAATACACTCGGCGATTGTACGTAATTTCGCGGCGTATACAAAAAAAACCTGTATCCCGGTCGATTTCAAATCGATCAAAAATTATACTTAACACCGCATAAAAATTCTTTGGTCTTAGGGAAGAAGAACTAAGGTCAATTTTTAGCATTTTAGCATTTTTTTTGTAATTTTGTCCCCTTCATTTTTAGGTCTAAATGACATATGTGTATGTGTATTCTAATTCATTATTATACTGAAAATTAAAATATTTCAAATCACATTGAAGTAATTTTTATTTAATAAAAATACAAAATCATATAATCATACGACTTAAGTAAGGCTATTTAGCAATTTTAAAAATTGAATTAGCTTGTATTGAAAAGCCATAAAAAATTGACTAAAATCCTTCCTCCCTGGGACCAACAAGATGTATTATTATTACACCAACAGATTGCTCCGTCGACAGTCATTTTGTATTCGAGATTTTCAAATGGCGTTGCCATAAATGTTTTTTCGATTCATGCTTGTTGTATCTGCATGATATTATTGTATAATACTCGGTCGGATATTTCATTTAAATCTACGAGCAATGCCGTCCGGTCTTTAAAGATCACGAAGTCCAACCACGAATACTTATCAGTTATCCACTGGCCGAGGCAGTTTCGGTTGAAGTTTCGCTCACTAAACCGATAAATTACCAGAATACGAATAGATACTGATTACGACAATTACACATATGATATACAACAAACACCTATACACTTGCGAGTTTTTAATAACTACGTACCTAGTCTCGAATAAGTTTATGAGGCGGTTGTGAATCGTCCGACAGTCTTCTAAGACCACGGACAACGTAATACTAGAAATAATACACGTGTATTATAGTAAGTACATATCCAAAGTAACGGTTTATGTGCTGTTAAAAAAAAAGTGTCATATTTTTTGTCTTCCAATATTACGATCATGTGTCACGGGTGATTTTATAGCAGTCCCATACCATAAATAGTGTACCTATAAGAGTCTCCATGCACTTTTTCGAACGTTGGATTTTTACCATACTGTTCCACGTTTAGTATTCTTTAGTTCGTAGAACCAGTGCAAAATTTGCACGTTTGTGCAATTAATATTATACAAGCGCGGTCGCAAAAACCGCGTAGTAAACCGAACAATAGGGGAATAATTTTTTTTTTTTTTTTTCTACCTTCCCTTAATAATTGTTTTATTTCATTATTTTTTCACATTATTATTATTATGATTTTGTACCAGTCTAGACTTACCTCGCGCTCGGTATACACACGCAGCCCGCCCGACGTGTTTTCTTTTCGCTCATAACAAAAGTTATTGTTCGCCGGGCGATTCAACAATGAACGAGTTGGTGTGTTTTATACCTACCGGCCGAGGGGGAATTTTCGAAGACCCCAAGGCAAAATAAACGTCGTCGTCGCGTATAACCACTGCACGGCCGAGTGCAATTCTTCCGTTACCCCAGTGGGCGGGGTAATATGCATTTAAGCGCATATTACATTATGCATTGTGCATCGGCAATCGGACCAGATGTGACCCGTAAGTTTTTTGCAGCAGTATTATAATAATAATATAGTTGAGTAGGTATGTACCTATTTACAAAGTCCATCGGATCAAATAAAACAAATGTAAACGTCTGCGAAAACAGCGTTTATGATTTTTTTGTTTATTCAATTTGGTTTTTATTATTTATACCGTGCGCGCTTTTTATTGCAATTGGTCTTTAGATACGATTATTAACTATAAGCCCATCAAAATCTCCATTGTGTCCTCGCAGTTGTAAATGTGACACGGTTCAAACGTGTATGGTCCATTGCATAGTTTATTGTATTACATAATATTATCGGAGGCTAAGACACGTTCTGCGATTTGTTTCTGTATACTTTTCAAACTGTTTTATCAATTCCCGTGTATGTTAGATCGCGAGCTCCGTTATTTTTATCGTATTTCGGCTCAGTAGCGAAAAAATAAACAAAACAGAAACGGAAGTCTCCATATTGTAGTATATGCGGTGGATGTGTATACCTACTGGAAAAAGCAAAGTGATCACAAATGATGGACGGACGGGTTAAAAAAAAAAAAAAATGCGGCAAAACGAATTTGTATTATTATTATTATTATTATTTTTTTTTTTAAAAATTCGCTTAAAACGTTTAAAGACTGTTCTGCAGTCCCCCTTGTCATTTTCGCCATTTTAAGTACAACAATATAATATACGTAGTGCATATTGTTCGTTATACGCCTAATAGCGCGTAATGATAATATAGCAGTAGGTATAAGTACTATACTTATTCAGTTGTATATTTTTTTGAAAATATACAATAGACTTCCGCCGTAAACCAAAACTTGTTATAACAAATAAGATTGCGTGAAATCGATGATAATTTTTTTTTTTTTTTTTTTTATTACGTACCGGGGATTCTGTTTACGGCAGCGCGCGAACGCTTAAGGTGTAATGCTAATTTTTTTTAAAACTAAACGCACGTGCAAATTGAAAGTTTTCTGACAAATATAACGACATGTAAATTGTTTTCCGGCCGATAATAAACAGAGAATTTAGCTTCGGGTGCGCATGGCATAATAATAATAATATACGTACGGACGTATATTACGCGGTAACCCGACTTGACCTTATATTATTTACCGGTAGGTTATAATGATTTAATATATTATAGTTAAACGATAATATTTCTCTCGATATGTGGTGTATAGACGTTTTACAGGATACTCGCACGCTGCGAAACGGGTAGATAAAAGCTGGTAGACTGTACAGTGATAGTTTGGTTACCTGTGTCGCGATAGTAAAAATTATCACAGAGACAGCGTCCATACGACGATATATGACTCTCGGTAATTGAGGAGTGAATTTCGAGAGAAACGTCTATGAAAGTGCAATACGACAGTAGCGTGATTACGTCGTAGTTCTTCTCCATCGGCAATAATTGGATCATTTAGAGTCAAACAATTTAATAGTTCCATTAAAAACACGCGTAATACTTGAATTTAAATTTAAATATGAGTAGGTAATTACGAATTAAGATTTGTGAACTATTAATTAAAAGTTAGTCAAATAAGATTATTAAAATGATAGTACGTGCAGGGTTGGGTAATTACATGTATACAAAGTTTTATACGTCCTACGTATGAATGTTTAATACGTCAAAAACGTATGAAACTATAAATTCGTAAATTTGCTTACACGATATTTTTTTCATTGGTCAGTACAATTTATGGGTTAATAATTAATTGAGGCAAAATGTATTTTGTGACTGACACTAAAACTCATAACAACCCCCTCTCATATCTATTCTTGTCGTGATTACAATCCCTCGTAATCTCCCGAAACACCTAAACAAAAACTGATGTCACTATCTTCTTAAAGATTGAAAACTGGAAAAAAAAAACCAATTTACGGTAGTGTTACACTGTTACTACTGGTATGGTTTCTTCCGTCGTGCTATTCATGAACTATGTCCATTATTACATCACTCATATCATGTTCTTATTGTTTTTTAGAGAACAGATTGTGTATATCTTTAAATGAATGGTAATTGAAAATTGTTTTCTATGTAGACATACCAAACATTATCGTCTGCGTATTTATTGAAAGTGCTACTAACCTACAGGCTCCAGTTTATGCTAGATGAATATCATCATTAAGTAATAACGAATTATATTCTCAGTTTACTTTCAATTTGAAATGTTTAAAGTTTAAATTAAACATATCATACGCATACAACGCGTAAAACTGAACGTATAATACGATAGAAACTATCGCAGTCGTGAACTTCGCAACTACCACGATAGTAACTGATATCGTCTTGTGAACTAACGTTTTATAAACGCGTTATATCAGCCCGTCAGTTTTAATTTAGTACACGGGTTGTGTTTGTTTTCAATATTGTAAGAATATGAGGCTAATAATAATAATAATAGTCTTAATATTATAATATACCTAGTATATTAGTATAGGTTAAACGCTTGAACGAAAAGAAACGTTAACAGTGGACCTCGTGAGTTTCGGTCGTGAATACTAAGTAGGTGCAATACGTATAGTAAATCCACTTGAACCGACAAGGTTTTATTTTTTTTATTTTTTTTATATTATATTCCTTAGTAAATACATGCGCAGTGTATACTTATACGCAGTGCGTGGAAATCTGTACAGGTATACCAATACGCTTATTGGCTGTATACAATGCTCGAATTGGGAAGAGTGCGGGCGGACGAAGTCCGTTTTAATTTGTTCGTACAGATTTTACCGGTCTCCTTCATTTCGTTCAGCCGTCCCTAGAGTTCCTGCTGGAGACGCTTTCGTCGGGGAAACGTATATATTTATATCCCGCGGGACGCGGTGGTCTTCTAAAAGTTATTCGTTAACAAAAATTGAATCTCTATTATGTTTTGGCCGAAATTGGAATGATAACAATCGCGCGTTTTTCCACTATTGTGAACACGGTACACAGATGAAATCTACACAACCGTGTTTGTATTTGTAACCGTATACTAACATGACGATTGCGTACCGCGATAAAGACGTTCCTTTAGTGTTTGCTAACCGCGCTTGTTTATGGAATCGATTGTTCAAAAGACAAATTAACTCGAACGTTATGACCCGCGAGTTGTACGCTTCGTAACCGCTTGGTTTGTCGGCGCACTTATTTATTACGCGATCGCTAGCCGGCATTGAAAACGGAGATCGGGCAACGAATTCACTGCGCCGAACGGCTTTTTAGGAAGAATACGCATTAAAACGAAATCCGTTCTAACAATGACTAACTTCGTTGTGTACGCGGTCGAAAGCTCAGGCGACTAATCGCAATAATACTAGCACATTGAATACGGTATTGCACGTTCGCGGGGACGCGCGTACGTTGTCTGTTCGCCGGCGCATCGACCGCGTTGGCGCCGACGATCCGCGAACGGACCGCTTGGCGAGCGTGCAAAACGCGCTCGTTCGCATTTTCCCGTAGGCGTCTCCCCGACCCTTTTGCGCGGCCGCCGAATCGAAAACCGACCGTATTTCGCAGTGCGGACGCGACAGATTTACCGCGTTGAAACCGTCCGGCCGGGGCGAACGAGAAAAGTGCGACGACGCGCCACGGTCCGCCGCGTCGTATTAGATATATGTATTTTTTTTTTTTTTTTTTTTTTTTATCGCTTCGTTCGCGGACCGCAAGGTCGTGTGCTCTGGACACTTTAATTACTCGTGCACGCCGCCGCTTGTTCAATTTATTATGATAAGTTTAACAACACCGCCGCCGCCGCGTACGTGTAGTACGCGAAAAAGAAACTAAATTAATATAAATTATATTATAATTAATTCAGAAGCAAACAGGAAAAAATAAAAAATAAAAATACTATAATCGGAGAAAACGACTACCATTGCCGCCGCCGTCGTCGCCGTTATGCGTACACCTATATGACGTTAACAACGTCCGGTTGTAAAAAAAAAAAAAAATTAAATAAACCAAATACTAATTATTATGAATTCTTTTTTATTAATTTTTTTTTTTTTTTTTGTACAATCGAACGTGCTACGTTATTATAATACTAATCCGGTATTTCCCGGGCTCGATCCATTCAGAAAAAGAAATCAAATAAAACATACACAATGTAACGTGTCTCCCCGTTGTGCACCCTTGTCCCACCCTTATCCAGTCGTCACTGCAGTTGAACGCTGTTGTTCGGTAATTTACATTTACAATGGTACTTCCTTGTCTGCGACGACCAAATTAAAAGTGTTTTTTTTTTTCATCCGTAGTGCTGCCAAGATAATCCATGAATAAAAACAAGTTGTCTTAGGATAATGGGAACGGGTGCAGTCCGACTGTTGTTGGTGAGAAGTTGAGAAAGTAGGATATAGAGGGGAAATTAATTTTTAACTATAAGCCACGATAAACCATTGCTTACCAAAAACGATTCTGAGCGGAGATCTGTTAATAGTGATGCTTTGTCAACAATATATATGTCATATTATGGTAGAATCATTAAATAGGCATTATACATTTCGTTTAATAATATTTGTTTAATATTGTACCGAATTTCCCGTTTTTCCTACGTTTTTCACATTCGCTCTTGGGAATATCGAACGATTTTCTTTTGGACAAAGGTCTACATCGTATACATTGGAGTAAGCTTCCTGGTAGAAAAAGTGTTCACATAAAAAAAAGAAAATAAACATCATCCTAGTAAAACCACGCAGAATCTAATAAAAAAATACCGAAAACCCTGTGCTAGTCTCTTTAACGATTGGGTTTCTTTATTTATAAAAACATTTTCAATCTGTAATTAGTTCATTACAATAAGTATGTATGAAAATATAGAGGATTCAAGAGGGCAGAATCGAGACATAAAAAGTTGACAACGATGTTTCTCTTCTTTTGAATGTCAAACGTGCAAAGTTTCTACGAGATCAGAATAAAACTGTAGATTTTCATAACGAACAATTTTATGATACTTATGATGTTTTATAGCAAAAATAATCGACGAGCGGTGATTTTCGCGGACAAATATAATTTCTCCTCGGCTGGTACAACTATACATAACCTTACAAAAAAGGACCAACTACTAAAATTTGAACTTAGTAGTTAGTACCGATATGAATTTAATGTCAACGCATTGACGACCCTTGGCTGTGACACGCGAAATTATCGACTATTTTATTACTTACATATTATATTCTTACACGCTGTTTAGTGTAAATTCACGGCTTATCTGTTTGCATCCGATGCGATTTTTCGACCGTTAAAAGTCGTGTAGGTTTATATTTCGAACGGTATCGGGTTTATAGTTCGGGGCGAAATTTGTATTGTTTCGAAGTCGGTATAGGTACCTGAATCTCGATTTTTCGACCGTTTTAATATAATTTTTTTTTTTTTTCTTATCACCCGGGGAGAAGTGAGCGTATCCGCATGATTTTCGCGTGTGGTCCTATCGTGATATTATGCGGGGCGATCGCCCGAGCCCCGTGGGGATGACGTCCTAATAATAATGATCCGCGGTATCGCCGCTGCGCAGTGTGGGCTGGGCGAAATCGTGATGTCGTGTGTTTCGTTTATTGCGTATTGTGCGATACGCGTCGGCCGCCGATATTTCCTTATTGGCTCCCCATGATAACCGCGAACATATTTTAACATTGCGAGTCTATAGGTACTTTATTGTAAAATGCCGCGGTATATTGTAAAGATATACGAACGAGTTTCATATTATTATGCACGAATTTCAAATAATATGGCGGCGCTCGTAAAAATACTGTACTACTCACGTTTACCAATATCGTTATGATACACACCGTCCGGTTAAACATGGTGATGGAATAATAAACGTTTATGCATACCCGGTACGTTTCGGTTTCACTCTCTCTTTCTCTCCGTGCCTGTCTCTCTCTGCGGATTAACAGTTATAAATAGTACGACGTGCATTGTGTGCAGTCTGCTTCTTCTTTTCGCGGTATGCGACCAATTATAAGACAATCATCCCGACAAGCATCTCCGCTTCTCTCTGCCGTAATTCGTTGTAGCCGTTCTCCGATCGTTTCCGGGTCTTAGAGGTTTTCATATTATTTTCGAACTATGTACCGTCCCGGCACCTCAACCACAGTCGTCCCGAAGGTCTTTTTCCGCGAAGGATATCTTCCTGTACCGTGTCCAGCTCGTTTCAAATTGTTCTTCGTTACTCTCAGAAAGACGCAGGGCTATAGATGATATAATGAAAATATAAAAGAATCGCAATCAAGATAATTTCGAAAGACTTTGCAATATGTTAGCAGACCATAATTCATATTTTGTTAACACTTTGGATAATTAGAATTTTAATAATTGCACAATATATCCTTCAATTCGGAACAATTTGATAAGAATCACTGCGTAATTAATTGAACACAAATAGTTAATGCAATATAAAAATGCGGCATGTACTCTTTAATGTGTGACTAAGTCAAAACTTGTGAAAAAGAACAATTTGCAATTTGTGTAAGATACACTAAAAATGTGAAAATTCAAGAAAGATTTGTGTCTTTTTTAAAATTCTGCTGGTGTATCGAATGATTAACACGATCTTCTATAAAATATTTAACTTTTGACACGTAATTGTTTAGTCTTCTGGCTTTTAACAAATCAAATATAATGATTGTACTGCGTTTACGGGCGTTGATTGATATCAATTTGTTTCACTATATTTTGGTAAACACCGGTATAAAAGCGCACGTTCAAATGTTTTACGAATAAAAAATATCAAATGATACCTGCAGCGTATTATGATTGATATTTATGAACTACGTGAATTCTTTTTTATTATTATTATTATTAATTTTAATTCGACGACAAGTTAAAAACGAGTTTTTCGGTTAATTTTACACGGAATCGTCGCGGTGTGACGGAAAAACTATTTAAAGATTTTTTTTTTTTTTTTACCGACATCTTATAGCAGGTAGCAGGTGCTAAATTACGGTGTATTACGGGGCGCGATGGACATTCGATACGGCGGCGCGAGCACGAGTCACACGATACAAACGATCTGGCACGTACGGCTCGCAAAATGAAATATCGATCGTAGAGAAGCCGGAAAGCCATTGCCCGATCGCATTATGCACCGATAAATACTGTTTTGTTACCCCCTGATACGGATGAGGTGTTTGTGTAATATCATATCGAACAAAACGGTTGGCTACCGTTACTTTATCGGCACTGAACAGGATTATATTATTAAGAGGACGTTTATACCCGCATTAACCGTCTCAGTTTAACCAACGTAATAGCAACTTGACGAAATTGCGTTGCGTTTACATTTTCTTAAAACGTAAACTGTGGCGTTCAGATTGAAATTATAGTTTGAACACAGGTGATAAATTTAATAATCAATTTAAATAGGAGAATATTTTCGAAGGCTGTATGTAACTTTTTTCTAAAAAAAATTGTCATGCGCCAAAAAGTTAAAATTATTTAAAAAAAAAAAAAAAAACCATAAACAAAACCTAACACGGCCATAATATTCACCTCTTCAAATATTGTAATTCGTTTTAAATGCTTAACCTTCAACCTGAACTCCTCAATTTATGTTTTAAATAATGTAATGTGTTGCTATTTCATACGTTAGTATGACGGAAATAGAACATGTTGGTATGGCATTCTCTTAACAGTCTTAACATACGGTACGGTGTTAACTGTGTACGCGGCTATAATGTATATATGAAGTCGAAATATGAACCCTTCTCCCCTAAGACCAAGATATAGTGGCCGTCGTTGTCAGTGGCGTAGCCATGGATTCTGAATTTTAAATACGTTTATGATTGAATCATGGGCGTAAGTTAAGAGTGAGATTTAGGAGGTTTGACCCATTTTGAAAAAAAAAAAAACGTAAAAGTGTTTTATCAATAGTATGCGTTATCTTGATATAATATCAAAAAAAAAAAACAAATCAATACAACTTAATAATGCGAAATGAGAATGTAACAATTGTGTATAAAAAATGCGTCTTAAAATATCTTGTAACTGAATACCCATAGCCCTACTTATTATTACACCCCTATTGACAGTGGGCTGCATCCATCAAGGAGAATTTTGATCAGGGGCAGTAATATTATAATGTAGTTTTCACTAATGTCTTTGTTTTGTTTATAAGAGTCATGGCTAACCTATGGGGTTTATTTTCCGATATGATAAGTCTCCTTAAATATCACGTTACCACAAGTTACCACAAAATAAATCGTAAAGTAATATAAGTAGACACACATAAGCACGGCGATTTTGAAAAAAACAAATCCGTTAAACGCGTTTAATTTTTTTGTTTTCCAAGGTCAGCCATTATTATATTATAAAGTGTACATTTTTTTTTTTTTTTTTTTAATCGATACTAGGTACCGCAACGAAAATATATTATTAATCGAGTCCACATCCCCGTGTAAATATATAATATGCATAATATAGACATAGCTATAATACTGCTAGTATACATTAATATATTATTATGATGATTCGACGATGGTTACGGAGCCCTCGGGCTCGAATAAAAACGGTCGCCTATAATATATTATTATTATGCCCACACGAAATTTTCGTCAAGAATACGCGATTTGGCCGCGGCCCCCGACAATTTCGCGCCCGGGGTTCGGGGGTACCTTTCACATCCGCCGCATAAAATGTATCATAATAACGTGTTATATATTTTTATACATAACGCACTAATTCGATTTGTTTGAAACCATTATTCAAATTTAGACTAAATTTAATCGACGACACAATGTATAATATAGAAGTCTTATATATATATAAAAAAAAAAAAAAAGAATATACATAAATTATTATAATTTATTATATATATTATGCGTATACGTACAGATACGTAGCTACAGAGTACACGTATAGATACTAGAATTGGTGGTTGATCGATTTGTGTATGGTTTCAACAGTCGGTTGATGTATAGGTAATTTATTATGTACGTAAACATGCGTACTCGTATTGTATACAGGGTGACTCCCTAAACGTAATAAGACCCCCATTATTTCGATGAGTATTATAATTGTTCGTAATTTGTTTTTTAACAATTTTAAAAACGGTACTTTCCTGTTATCGGACTACATTTTCGGTGAAAATTCCGAGATTCAACTGCGAATATTGGTTGCTCGTTGCCGTTCTCGTATAATAGCGATGTTTGTGTTTGCACTGTGGGACACTAAGTTCCTGACATCACTCACCAATATCAGGTTTGAACCTACAGGTCGAAGGTCTAAATAACTAGCGAAGAATATCGTGCAGCCAGTAGGCGTAGCTAGTGGTCAATGGTCATCACACTCATACCCGTAAAACTTTAAAATTAAAAATTATCAGCTAGTTTTGATTTTGCCAATAGATTAATAATGCATGAATAACCGCAGAAAATAATTTATTGAAAGTATTACATTTTTCTTCTTCTTTGAGTAATCGGTCGCTTGGAGCTTCCCGTAAAACCCCATTCTTTCAGTCATCTCTGTCAGACAGTCGCTCCTTTTAATCTGAACCTTCACATATTTCTTAACCACATCTTTCCACCTTATACGAGATCTTTCTGATGGTTTCTTGCATTTAGGTTATTCTCCTGAACTATGCACAGAAAAAAGATTCTGACTACGTCAAATATATCCGGTCCACTGTAGACTACAAATTTTTATCGTTTCCGAAATATCGGGTCTATGGAAAATAGTTAGTTTTAGTTAAATTCCATTTAAGTTTAACTTATTTTAGCAGATGAAATATTAATTACCCACGTTTAAACTCAAATAGTAACCTATTTTAAAAATACAAATTGTCATTTAGAATAATGCAAACTTAATGCATATACAATACAAATTTATTTTATTAAACATGCAACGCATATTGTTGACACTATATTCAAATAGTCTTATTTTTCAAGTGAATTTGATTTATACAATTTGTTTGTATCACAAAAATTACTCGGGATACAGTCATCTATCTAAATTTAATTAAAAAATATGATTTTTTGTCGACTTTTCAAAAAACTAAAAATCTATTATATTAATATGTATGTGTTATTTTATGATAATCTTTATAAATAATTTGTTCACGAATAAATCAGTAGACAAATGTCTTCACTTTTAATGTCTTAAATTTTAAATTTGTAGAAAATTCGATGAAAAAATCACATTCTTCTAACTTTAGATGGACATATCTCAGGTAATTTTTGAGCCATAAAATAATTTTATTTTGATCAAAGTTCTTTGAAAAAAAAAAAAAAAAAAAAATAGGACTATTCGAATTTAGCGTCAATACTAGAAGTTGCTATTAAAAAAAAGACATTTTAATTGTACACACGCGCGCCGAAAGGGTTATATATAATTGACAAATATCTTAAAAAGTGTACTTCAATATCCCCGAAAACGGAATTCAAATTCAAGTTCATACGGCCGAAACATTTAGTGTTGTCTGAGAACATGTATGTATAGTGTATTTGTATTTCGGTGTCGACACATAAACCTCGTAATTTTTTATTATCTGTATAATATTATCACTTATTACGGAATTTAATAGCGGGACCGTGCGCTGAATAATGTCAATAATAATGTTAAATAAAAGTAAAACAATGCACTTTTCTAGTATAGCATTGTCAAGAAACTAAACTGCATTTTAATGAGTTAATGACTAATGCGTCTGCGTCCAACACAACATAAATATTATACATGGAAAAAACCTGTTTTAGATCAATTTTTGAACTCGATGAAAATATTCGTGCTCTTATTTTATACCGGCGTAATTGTTAAATCGAATAAACGTATAGGGAGTAAAAGTTTTTTTAAGTAACATAATACAACTGTATATTTGTTATACATTTTAAATGCGTTTTTTTAAACAGGTAACGCAAAAGAACGTTTAGAAAGTCTTTTCGATTAACCTTCGAGGATCACGACATAGCGATTCACAATTTATACACACAATACACGTATAGTAAAATATATGAAACGACAATATTATGTCATTAATTTTGATCAGAATAGTTCACAGATTTGAAGTAACAAATAGTTAAAAAAAAAAAATATATATATATATAGAATATAGAGCACGTCCAATGTAACATAAATATTTTTTGGAGATATTTTTAATTACCATCAGCTCTTCTGTCCGCTAGCGTAGTTGAGCATACTGCGAGAAGAGAATAGGAGCGTAGTCCTACAGCAATGTGTGGTACATATTGAGGATATGACTTATGAAGAGGAGGAAGCGTCTTTGAACATGATCGGAAATTGAAGAGTCGAGTTCAGTAAAAATGTGTCAGTGTGCAATATCTTCAAAAAGTTTCCCCTGTAATTTTGAGCCCAACACTATTTGTGGTTTTTTTAATTTTTTTTACAAGAAGCTCTTTTTCCTTGTACAATCCTACTTGTTATGTCTAACTATCTTCTACCATCCCCCGTTATTTTACTAACAATGTATCATTAATTTTTTACTTGTTCAATATATTCTTAATTGATATTTTTAAATTTTACAAATGATATTTGACGTCATTAATTTTGTACGTGTATATTTGATAAGTGTTTATATAGTTATGTTTGTACACGGTTCACAATAATAACTTGGCACGCGACCGCGAGGAAAAAAAATAAACCTTATTATACGGAATCGAGCTAGTACGATAATGTTTTAAATATCCGGTAGCTGGACCATGACCTTCCGTGGAATTAGAAAATCTCTACTAATTACTACAACGTATGATATTCATTCCAAAAACCAACATTATGTGTACACATATATGCGCTAGTGTTATATACACTACTGTTAAACCGCTATCGAGTTATTACGTTAGCACGGCGGAACGTTTTTTACGACTTAATGTTGTTTATCTGAAGTAATTATTATCGAGAGTTCTTAAATCGTAATAGAATAAATAACGATAATAAAAAAAAAAAATAAATGTTACTTTAATTAAAAAAAAGTACAGTAGTCTTTCTCTTTAGCGTTCGGCAACAAGAACTATCCCATCACATACCCAAATCTTCAATAATTATTATTCCAGTCAACAATTGTTTTTCATTATCAGTTTAGAGATTTCCGGTTTCTTTTAACCACATTTTCTCATCATCTTAAATGTGATTTTCCAAAAAGTCTCTTTCCTACCGAATGCTCTTCCATTTCCCCGCGTGA